ATAGTAATTGAATGCGCCACGACTTCAGTTTTTTATTTATTTAATCTATTGATTATACATTTAAAATGATATAATCCTGATCACACAACTTTTGTCTTTTGTGGAAGTCCTACTCACTGCCTTCTCGTGGCGGGGGTGTTGTTTACGAAATCGAGAGGACGAAAAGCGAATGTCCGTCGCTTTAACCGGGTTCCAAACCAATGGTGCACATGGGTTCCAGTATCCTGCGGGAACAAATGGCGTATGAACCAATTGTTGGTCACCGGCTTCCAAGGGACTGCATCTCCTTACGATGCTCCAATCCCTTGTGGATCAGACCTTCAGGTCAAAGGCTCGGGGAGTGGCCCCCTAAGAAAACCACCTGCTTCGGTTTGGGCACCCGGGCAGTATCACAGCCCTCACACATATCGAATGAGATTTGTGTGGCGCATATGTATTTGGTGCCTCCTTGTACCAATATCTATGTGTTAAAATAAATAAATAATTTCATGATCACTGTAATGATGTTATCTCCGCTTAAATCATTTACTCACTAGTGACTAATTTCAAGAAGTAATTCCTGGATTTCTAGTGAGAAGTGATTATTAGAGTTCTACCGTGTCGGGTATGGGACAGTTACCAAAGATAATGGATGGTTATTGAGCAAATTCGCGAATTGATTGAGGTTTGGCATGTACGTCACTGAATACCGGCTCACTGATCTAAAAGTTGAACGTTTACGGCGAAATCTGAGGATAATGTATGCGCACTGATGAAGTACCCAATACCAGGACGAAAGAGTTGTCCATTAGCTTCTGGTCTTCAATGGATGTCTAACACAAATCCTTTCTTGATCTCGATTGCATATCTTCTCTCGGTCTTTTCATGTTTTGTTAGGAAACAAAAGAAAAAAGAATATTTTTTATTCGATTGACTAAAATTTTAATATAATTTCTTTAGTTTTCATTTCGCTTCTATTTGTTACTTGTTCGTCCAATCGTGGAAAAATAACATACTATTATGATCTGGGGAGTTGAAAGAATTTTCAAAAATGTGCCAATAGTAATACACTTTGGATCAATAAACTTTAGAGAGGGAAAGAATGATTGGCTATATTTCTGATGATGTATTAGGATTATTTTTATACTTATAATCCTGTAATTCCATTCAATCTTTGTGAGGTATTTTCCCTGTTTATTTTCCCATTACTGTCGATATTATTTTTGTATGCTTTTTTTGATGATAATACATACAACAACTTGAACTGCTACGCATTTATGCCGGATCCCATACGTTAAGTCACTTCTAACCTTCAAATTATTTGGTGAATTCAAGACGAACGACCATTAATATGAGCATTATTAGTAAATCCCTAAAAGAATAAATAGTATATATGTTCAAGAAATACTTTACAATAAATAATTCATAAAACCTCATCTACTTGAAACCATATGTTTAAATATTTGTGGATGTTCTTATATATACTTTTTTTCTTTTTTACATTAGGGTTTTTGCTGCTATCAGTTTTGCAGCACAAGCACTTGGTAGAACATCACATGTGGGACCAGAAATGAAGCATGCTTCATTGGCAGCTAATCGAATTTTTAAAATTCTCGATAGAGATTCTAAAATTCCTGTAGATGAAGGTTTATGTCCTGACCAGTCTATAAACAATCTTCCTATTGAATTCAGACAAGTATCATACAGATATACATCTAGGCCAACATCTTGGGTTTTAAAGGTAACTGATATATTTCAATAAGATAAAATTATAATTTTAATTATAAATTATGATTTATGGTTCACTATATCATTAGTAGTAACCGAACTCTTTAAAATCTCTTAAGGGGATTAAGGAATCCTCACCTGTAATATACGGCCGATACCGTATCTACCCATTGGATGTTATGTAGTCACACTAAAGATATCAAACGGATATTACTACTGCTTACTCAAGTATGAGGTCTGACACATCAAAAAAGAAACAAGAGATATTATCTCAGAGAATAATCATTTGAACAGGATAACAACCTATGAAATACTTTTGCCCATTGCAACAATTAGCATCGAGCTTACTGGAGGCCCAAATCTCTAGCGGACTGGACTTGGACACAGCATTCACTGTGAAATAATCCTCGAAAATCAATCGATATTCGTTTGTATTAGGTTGAACTAATTGAAGATATTCAATTTAAACGCATGTTATCTTGATATTTTGCTGCATTACTGCTGCTCGCATACATTTTCTCGCTAACCAACTCATGTCAGTCAACTCTAAGTTGTTTATGTTTATTATTGTCTTAATATTCTACGTTATTTTGTGGTTACGTTTCGTACTGTTGGTCACCAGGCTAGGTACAACAATTTAGAAGCTTTATATTCTTCCGTTGACAGATTCCCTCAGGACCTTAGAGGCAAAAATATAAGACGAGCCCCACTACCCACTTGGGCGACTAATCCACAACACCTTTGTAAAATTTCAAAAAAAGCTACCTGTCTACTCTGGTTAATATTTCCGGCAATAAGGCTCTTTACCGTTACAGAGCCACAACTTCGTTTTCCTGTTCCTTTCTGACCCAAAAACATTAACTAGTTGTGTACTATTTCGTGTTCGACATAGCAGTCCGGAAGAGTTACTTTTTCCTCGTGACTAATTGAAAGTCACTAAGAGCTTGCGCGATGATTTTTGCATTTCACGAGCCTATTTAACCTAGTTAGTCATTAAAAAGGAGACCTTTTTGACGACTCTTTTCACTAAGATCTTGACCAGTCATCCTCTACCATGTTAGAAAAGCGTTTCTTCAATCTGTTCTTGTCGAATTATTACAATCCTGTCTTCATAGAGAAATCTACCTTATTCAATAAGAACTAGTGTGTCCTGATCATATTTCCCCCAAACATTTGATACACAATACCTCGTCGTGAAATTGGATCGGGTGAAAGTGGTGATATGACTTCTCAAAATAGATGGATTTGCGACGAGAAAAAAAAACAGAACTTAAGACTCACATTTTATTGATATAAAGAAACCGGTGTTCTAACATGAAACTGTGTAACTTTTCGTCCCACTAGGACTTTTCATGGACATTCCAACCTCGTCAGAATACCGCTATTGTGGGGCTTTCTGGATCTGGTAAAACTAGCATATTATGTTTGATTCATCGCCTTTACGAAGCTGATAGTAGTAACACAAATAGTGGGATATTTCTCAACGATATTAATATAAGAACGATTTCACCTAGGTGGATTCGCGAGCAGATTTGTGTTGTAAATCAAGAACCACAACTTTTTAATCTTACACTTATGGAAAACATCGCGTATGGGAACAATGCACATCCTGTAACGATGGATGAGATAACCGATGCTGCACGACGTGCAAATATTCATGAATTTATTATGACCCTACCACAAGTAAGTTACTATCGATTCTATCCAAGGTGTGAATTGATTTTGTCGTGTGTGATCTACTTTTATCTTATTATCTGGTATAATTCAAAAGGTTTAATCGTCCCAGCAATAACATTGTCGCAAAACACCACATATCGATCGAATCTTTGATACCTTGCAAAACCAATTACTGCTCCCAATAGTTTACTGGTCGATTGTAAAGCTGAATTTCAACTTCAGCCTTGTATTGCATTCTGTCCTATTTTGTGGCAGTGAAACATGGCCGGTAAGAGTAGAGGATATTCGTAGGTTACTAGTATTCGATCATAAGTGCCTTCGAAGCATTGCTCGTATATCCTGGGGCCACTAAGTAATGTAGTTGTTAGAAAACGGGTACTAGGTAAGGATGGCAAATCGATTGAAGTGGTGAAACTTCACCAGTTGAGATGGCTGGGACATGTTACATATGCCCAACCATTGACTGCCCCGACGTGCGATGTTCAGTGGTATAGGAGTAGGTTGGAAGAAAGCTAGAGGCGGCCAGACCGAGACATGGCACAAGTCCATGAAGTCACTGACAAGTGGACTAAGTTATATTGGTAGGTGTGGACTACCTGGTTGTGGACGGCGAGATGATTGCAACCGATGGTTAGACACCTTGAATGACATGGCTCAAAATCGTTTGCAATGGCGCAGGTGCATCTACTCTTTGTGTTCTCCCAAATTCTAATCTTCTGAATTCCTCATGTCCCTTTCTTTTTTCTCTTTCCAAATTTATTACACTGGATTATACTCTTTGACTTAACATCTTCAAACCCTAATCTTTCAGACTACTGCTTATAACTTTACTACATCTACCACTACGGGATTTGGATCAATAACTGCATCTGTGCTAGTGTGGTATAGCAACTTGAACTGACGCATGTACGTTCGAAGTTCTACGTTGTTGATGACTGACTGATCGCATTCCAACGTATGGTCCTAAAAGTGAAGTACCCTTAAGTTGATATAAAATGGATATATTAGACCCGAAATTCTGATGCCCGATGTCAGGAATTCAAAAGTGAAGAAACCCTTACTATATTTGGCTCAGTATTAGAACAGACGAATAACTGTAATTCTGTAACACACCAGTTAATTGAATATACTGTATAATTTCCTCTTCAGGGTTACGACACATTAGCTGGTCCGCGAGGTACACATATTTCTACGGGTCAAAGACAAAGAATTGCAATAGCGCGTGCCCTCGTGCGTAAACCCAAATTGCTACTTCTAGATGAAATTACTTCTGCAATGGACCCAGAAAACGAACGGTATATTCAAAATTTATTAACAGGACTATCACAGGACTACACATATCTACTAGTTACCCACAGACTACTCTCAACGACACAAGTCGACCAAATCTTGTTCATATCCAGAGGTAGGATTGTCGAGTCTGGCTCATTTGATCAACTAATACAATCAAAGGGAGCATTCTACGCATTGTTTTGTCCTGAAGAGATCAAACAGACTTAATGTACAAAATTTCTTGTCTTCCTAAGCGGTAACAAACTCCCAACTCATAATTCTCAAACTATCAATTAAGCGGCCGAACTTCACTAGCACGTTTAATGAACAATAAAAAACAAAGTTTAAAGAATATTATGTATATTAACCCCACTGATTCTTCTGAAATACAACAAGTACAGAAACAAACGTCTTTTTTATAAATGCCCTTTTAGGAGGTATAATATAATGAAGCTTAACGCTAGTAAACAAAACTTAGTTTTTTCGCACAGAAAAAAAGTAGTGGCGCATTAGCGACAAACATTGTTGCCAACAAAAGCAGTTCATTTCGAAGCTTGATTTTGGGGGTATTGTCTACACAACTCCGGCCCCACGAATTAGTATTATAGCTAAGTAATCATCTTTACCATAATCTTTCTCTAGTTGCGGAGCACTTTCACGCAAGAGATTCAAAGCAAAGTCACAGGGTGGAAATGCATACAGCACCCCAGATGTAGTTTCTGCAGTTAGAGGGGATGAAGAATCGTTTGAGTTTTGGCCACCAGGATTTAGAAGAACCACTCCTGCGGAGTCTTTTGCACGTAAATATCCGATTAGGTTTCGAAGCGGTCTTTGCGGTTGTTTATCGCCATCTCCAACTTCACTGCATAAAACCGAATGTGGAGGTACAGCCAAAAGAATGCAAAACCCAGAGGAACCGGCTGTCTGAATGCGCTGATTCACGTCATCTAACTTTACTGGATCCAGTCTCATTCGTTGAGTAATGCGTAAACAAACCACCTGTTCTTTGTTTGTACAACTACTTTTAGCGCTACCATGTGCATCATCCTGAGATTCACTAGAATCAATGTCGTCCAGTGACGTATGTTTATCTTTGTTCGACTTTTTACCTGCATGTCGAGTTTCGTTTGAATGCGCAGATGCTTCTGAATTAGATCCCTGGTACATGAACTGATCAACAAGGCTTTTGTCACCTCTCAAAATGTGCATTCTGCACTGAAAACTACTCGACTTTAGATAAAATGCTCCATCCCATGCCGAAGGAAGACAAGATGCCAACTGTTCTACGTTTGTGGATGTTTCTAATGTAGGTGATCTCGAGGAAGAAGATGAATATCTGCGAGATTTTGATGATGAAGGAGAACGTGAAACAAAACGCGTCGAGTCCGCATCAGGACTTAATGAGTGGTCTCTTATACTACGTTTAGGCGCCCTTTCATGCGTAGCTTTTCTAGATCTATGGCCAGATTCTCGCCTATGATTTGACGAAGCAGAATGACTTCGGTCACTATCAACATACGTCTTTCGGTCGCGCTTGTATTTTGAGTAATGATTATCACGAGAGTAGGCATTGTCTGAAAAAGAATCTTCACGTTTTATTCGAGGTGTCAGTGATCTTCTGGATGAGTAATGTCTGGGACTTGATTCTGTGGACGAATTTCTTTTCAACCGTTTCCAATTAGGATCTCTGAACATATGTGACTCATCAGTGAAATCCACTCGGATCCGTTTATGACTTTTTCCTAATGGATATCCACGTAAAAGATCAGCTGCAACAGCAGCCGACTCGCTATCACTATAAAGAATATGGGCATAGTTTTTACCAGACGGCCAGATGATTTTTTCAGGCGCGCTGATACTATTAACAAGGGTTGCGAACTCAGGATAATTTGTCCATGGACCCAATCCACCAACCCATAGGCATCGTGTGGGAATAACTTTTCCATAACCAATTTTGAATCTGTATTCACCTATCATTTGTCCAGATAAATTAACTTTTGCGCGGTGTGCCATGTCTAGACTAAGATATCGAACAAAAGCGAATGCGGTTGCTCCAGTCTCTAGTTCACGGCGCTTAATATCAATATCTTCAATTATACCATAACGTTCGAAAAGCTTCCTCAGTTCAGGTTCCTCGACATCTGGTGGCAAATTACCCAGAAATAATGTTCTTGTTGCATTAGGATCATCTTCGGGATTGCGATGTTCTACTGGACGAGCGTAACGAGCATTGAAAATGCTAAGCATATCTTTCTCCTTACTAGTTGTTTTTCGACGATGGCTTCTTGAATCTTCACCTGTATACCTATCACTGGAACTCCGCGGAGGTCTGTGTGACGATGAACCATGGTGGTCACGACCAGTCCGAGTAGCAGATGCCAGTGCTTTGGTTATGTGTGACATTTGTTTGCTCGATATTACACCTCCGGCACCTAATGCTGCAGCCATTGCGGCTGCGTTCATCGCAGCTGCGGCTACGGCCGCAACCGTTGCAGATGAACCCCGTTTGGACCCAAGAGGAATTGGAAGATTTGGTAATTTTCCTGATGATGCAAGACTTGCTGCCAACATAGGATTAACTCGACTGGAAGAATTGACCAGTGACTTTGACGAATGACTAGATAGTCGATCACTTGATGGCGCATAGGATTTCCGTGAACTTGAGTAGTCACTGAAATAGCATGAAAAAATAAATCAAGCAAATATATGGGTCTAAATGTAAAATCAACTGGATGACAAGACTTGTCAATATAACTCGGTGGTTTAACATTTAGTTTAAAATAATTTAGTATGTGACCCGTATAAAATGTCCTTCACTGAAAAAATTTGATAAACAAAGTATGAAGTTCGTGAGGTTTATAAACATCCTTGTCCAAAAACAAGGTCTCTACTAAGTAGTTTCACTCTACTGATAAAACGCAAAACTTAGTCACGCTACATCGAGTTGAACTGAAAGGTTTACGGTGATTACAGTCGCAAGATATACATCTATAAAATAATATTACACATCAAAAATTAACTCTTATAAAGAAATAAGCAAGTTATAGTTAGGACTGCAAAAGTTGAGTGCCATTGTGAAGTTAAATAAGGCCATTCATAAGTTATGTTGAACTGAAGCGAATAAAAAAATTAATGGACAGTATCTCATCTTGCAGAACCAAACGGTCATGAGTTTAGGAAACTGACTTACTTCAACTTTACCTATCTCCGACAATTTTGTAAACAGTTTGACTTTTGAAATCCCCGATAGTACTGACTTTAAAACAATGATCAAAATCTACATTCCATGCACTATTTGAGTTTCAAACAGTGTCATTTCGAAGTGAATCCTTCAGTTGAATAGCTCAGCATTTCAAAATGATACAGTTGTAACATGATTTTTTTAAAAACTGCCTTCATATTTTCGGCACAACAAAATTCTCAGATAATTTTATAAGAAACGCCCTTCTAAGAACGAAGATCCTGACGTTCTGTATTGTCAGTAAGTCATAGTTGTTAATTTAAATTGTTTCACTAAGGAATGCATTTCCACAAAACAACAATTAAACACTAAGAGGAACTTCTCCAGAACTTTATTTATTGAAATAATCTAGTAAGTTAATAAGTTAAGGCATTCAAAAAGCACACAAATCACTGCATCACTTAAAAAACAGTTGTAAAACTAGTGATTGAAGTTTTAATCGATTGGAAGCATTATTCAGACTTTGACGAATGACCAGATTGTCGACTGAAATTCCGGTTGCTGAGATTCCAAGGAATATGACTTCTTATCATCCTTCATAACTAGTCGTTTAGATCTAAACAAAAGTTCTTATAAAATCATTGTACTACTGAAGTGCTTGTGATAATATTGTGAATTCCATTTTCTTATGTTTACTGATTATATGGACATGATCCCTATGTTTCGTGGTACTCATTGATGAAAGACAAACTAGACGTTTCATCACAATTCTAAAGCATCTTCAATGAAGCATTTAGCTCATTATATTATCAACTTAATTTATAACGTATTAGTAGCTCGACTGTATAATGAGAACTGTAGTTTACTTTACCTTGGTAAAATCTATAGTTTACAACATCTACATTTCTTCTAAATGTAAAAGTGACCATTTAGGTGCTCACCTGTCATCCTTATATTCATTAAAACTCATCAGAAAATAAGTCAGTCACCTACAACGTAGGACCAAGCACATATGTGCATCGGTTCAAGTTGCCGTGTCTCACTAACGCAGCAAGATGAACATCGGATTCATAGAAGTAGTTAGTTCAGTGGTGGTGATATATAAAAGAAAGACTGCATATAAGGACATGGTACAGGAAGAAAGAGTTAGTTCGTAGGAAGATATGAAGCGATTTTAAACTCATAGTTTGAAGGAAGACAGAGAGTGTATACACCTACGCCATTGTGATCGATTCTGAGCCATGTCACCAAGAGTCTCCAACCATTGGTTACGATAGTCACGCGGACTTTAACCAAGTAATCTGACTCTACCAACATGGCTCAGACTAGAAGTTAGTGTCTTCAAGCACTGATGCCACGTTTTCGTTTGGCCGCCCCTGAAGTGGTTTGACAAGACATGATCTCCAACCTTGTGACAAGAATCCTGACAAAAACACCACACAGCGGACAATATGGATTTGTTAAGCGTTTAGTTCGGTAAATGAGACGGAGACTAGTAGTGACAATGAATAGATGTGAAAGGCTGGCTTGATTAGGTACCTTAGGGCTTTTATAACTCGTTTTCAAGCAAAGAGTATGAATTAACTGTGTATTGAACAAATTACAAAATTACCATAAAGGAACTTACTGAAACTTGACAATCAAAATATTCTCCAGATGTTATAAGTGCATCTTTTGAATTCTGAATGCTTCTTACAGAACTTTCGTCGATCATTTTAAAAATTAGTTATAATCTTAGTACTTGTGGACACCATGTGCACATTATTTTGCTGAGATACATTTTATTTATTCTTCACTAAAATTGAGACTATCTATGAAATTACTTGTTAGCTAAACTGGACCAGCAATACGAGGTGGTTATTAGATAGTGAATAATTTCAAATGATATTGCAAATGCCTTAAGTCGATTCGGACAACTGTGCAGATTAGTTGAGATTAATGCAGGACAAGCATTTCATATGAGTGATAGCATAAGAATGTAGGTTTTCATGATCATATGTTCTGCTGGAACAATCTCATTAAGAAAACTTGATATTCATTTTAATCAAAAGATTTTACATGACAAAAAACTTCATTTTTGGCGAATGTGGCCTACACTTAGGCGGACGCATTTTAGCAAACATGGTCGAGTTAGCAATTTAAATGCCCGAAATATCTTCTCGATTTTTAAAATTAAAAAGCCTGAATATGGATGAGAACATATCATTCCAGGTATCTCGATTTAATATATATGAAATGCAATTTGCTCCTCTCCATTACGAATTGAAGTAACATGATGTCATTTGAGCAATTTTAAATGCATTCAATGTATGGACCGTTAATATCCATCACTCCGACAAGAATAACTGTAGCTGCTACAAGGCGGAAATCTGCTCCACTGTCATAAGTAAAAGACATGACTGCTTAAGAAATGCTCCATCATAGAAAAATTAAAACCCATAATGAGGACAAAACTTATGTACTATGCATGATGAATATGAAAGTGACATTGGGATTGTAATACAACAAAATGATACAATAGCGACTGCAAAATGAGTGAACCACATAAATACGTAATGGCATGAAATATGAACAATGATGACCGAAATCCAAAGTGTTAGCAACAGGTACTAACACGATTGAGTACTCGGAACAATTCACGCAAACTAGATACACCATTTATAAATTACCTGTGGGGGTTAAATGAGCGGCTGGAGTTGTTGCTACTGACAAACTTTGCTGCGGGATTAGGTCGAAGTAAGAATGTTTGTCTCGAACCTTGTTGGTCATATTTATCAACTGATCTGTCTTCACGTGAAGGGCGTCTCAACAGAGCCTTTCGTGGGGGACTTTTGTACTTCTTCGGAGAGTTGATGCACCCGTTAGTACCCTCCTCGTCCGATATACTAGGGGCACGGGCCTTCTTGCTGCGAGAAGCCGAGTCCTCTCTATGATGCCTCTTCATACTATGGCAGAAATTTCGAATACAGAACAACTACCTCCATGATGATTCAACTTCCAATTCTTGGTCATTTCAGTAACGTTATTCGAAGTATGTAGTCTTATTTCATGACAAAAAGTTGGATTGAAAAGTAACTTCGACTATTTTTAGACATCATTGCGCTGTTTATTTAGGAGTAATGTTTCAAACGGCTGAATATTTCAACTTCACAAGACTATCTACAACAGGTGAATTGGGAAATTCACACTCAATTTGATGTGGACGCTCATTGGAAACTCTTACTGCACACGATCTTATGCGCTAAAAAGCAGTCTTTTCATCAAATTATCCCCGAAGTCTACAAGCAATATACAATCATCAAGAATCGCTCTCTTCGTTTGCTAAACCGTAAAAGGCACTGTTGGGCAAAATGCAAACGGACAGATAACAACGGCGCGTACAAGAAATAAAAACATATAAGGAACATATGCACACAGAAAATAATAGAAGATAGGCTTCAGTACCAGATAAAGATTATCGATAAATTTGTTTACGATCCGAAAAGCTTATTCCGTTATGCAGCCTCTTTTCGACAAGCCAAAACTGGAGTTTCCCAACTGCTAGGTCCTAATGGCCCGACTAATGACAACGATGACGTCGCTAAGCTTCTGACTGAACAATACTCTTGGACATTTCAACCGACCGACGTTAACTATATTGATCAAAGCTTCATCTGCAACTGCACAAGACATCCCAAAGTGAACCTGAGCTCTGACTTGGTGTACCGGAAACTGCAGCACCTAAGGAAAGACACTTCTCCTGGTCCGGACACGGTTCACTCTGCTAAACTAATGGAACCAGCTTCAATCCTGGCAACACCGTGTACTGTAAGTTTCTCCCACTCGCTAAGCCGAGGCAAACTGCCGGATATTTGGAAGCAGACTCACATCAAACTGTAGCAGAAAATAAACCCCCAAATAAATATCTCTGTAAGTCTTCGACATCGGATGCTGACCACATCGTTTTTAATAGACTCACCCATTTGAAGGCGCTCGGTCATGCATCTGCACCAGATCACGAGTTGGAAGTCCGTGCTCAACACCCTCTGCATTCGCTAACCAGTCCAGATCAGTCGATCCTAGATATATTGATAGCCCATCAAATATATCTTCGAACCACCCCGCTTCTGTCTTTGGATTTCACTTGGTGGGTACGATCCATAGTAGGTGTTACTGATTGAATACCAAATACCTGTTGCATCTTCAACACCAACTTTCGAAGGAGGTCGATGCGCCGAAGCTTCCAACTACTGACCGGTGGCTCTTCTCTCTATGCCTTCGAAGATTATAGAGTCCCTGATATGCGAAGGTATACATGGCCACTTTTATCGTCAAACTCATTTTCACCACAACAGCATGATTTCAGGTAAAGTGATTCTCGTATAACCAACCTGCTGACTGCGGTGGACAGATGAACGACCATCTGTAGTACCATTGAGCGCTAACCACACAATCCTCAATGCTGAACACGAGACTACTAGGAAAATAGATATTCAATAGTTAACGCGGAGAAAGACCTAACAATTGAGAAGGCGGGAACAAGACGCTGAATGAATTAGGGTTGATCGGTTGGCATGGATCGACCTAACAGGCGTGGTCCCTGCAGAATGTTTCCTTATACCTTTTGTTCGTATTAAACATATTGTTTTATCTCTAGCCTAAGCTTGTTCTCCATCATGTATTGGTAATTGTTACGATACAGTGGGTTGGTGTAGACGATGATGTGACTTCCACGTAAGATTTTATAGATTAAGCAGTCATACCATGACAAATCTGCAATTTTAGGATTAGGTCTATTATTAGAGCAGTACTGATATCAGAGTAGACCATAATTCCACACATCCTTGATCGCAAGGAGAAGGTTGACGTCACTTTCCTTGACTTCTCAAAAGTTCTTGATAGGGTCATCAATAAGCTTAAACCATTAGGTATCAAATCACTTCTAATTGACTGACTCATTTCATATCTCAGAAATCGACATTTTAAGGTCAGGGTTAACTTCATTTTCAGGTTATGGAATATACTAATGAGTTCCCCAATTTTCAGCACTAGGGTCTCTTCTTTTCTTGACTTATACAAACGATCTTTCACAACAGGTATCGTCCGACTTATTACGCAACTGGGACTTCAGGAAGACCTGACTCGACTTTATGATTGGCAAATTATAACGGACATACCTTTAACACTTCAAGTTGTAAAGTATTCCGTCTGAGACATGATGCAGACTACAGCTACAACTTGGGCGATTGCCCTTCTAAAAGTATCTCAAGTTGAAGTTTTAGAGGTGCTGGTACCCTACGATTTGAAGTCTTATTCTAACTGTGACAAAAACGCCTTTCGGGCAAACCTTGCACTATTAACATTGAAGCTCATTTTGGCCAGTTTGATGGAAGAACTTTCCACATAATCTTGTGACGACGGACCAAGGGTGAGCTCGAGGAAGCTGTAGGAGGCTCAGAAGGAGCCGAAGATATTTCATCCAATCAGCTTTCAGAAGAATATTCTAGAATTCAATATGTAGCATCCTGGTTGGTCAATGCCAATAATCCCATATACGTGGATTGGTGGACTGTAATGATGATTTCGTTCTTACTAAAAACTATAAATACCTGACAATTTTGTACTATAATTGCCACTGTTTGAAATAATATTCCTTTCGTTAGTCTTCTGTCTTCTTACTGAGACTTGGAAGAGTTTTGGTCTTCTAGTGCTCTGTTATACGCGGTATATCAAGAAATCAATCAAGATATAACAAATCTTCAACAATATCATTCATCCCTATTCAGAGAACGGAAACACAGTATTTCCTCTCTCACTCCAAAAGGATAAGGACACTCTGGAACGTATTCAACGCCGAGCCACGAAATCAGTTCAAATTCAAACCTTATGAAGAGCGCCTCCGCTTACTAAACCTTTACCCACTAGAGTATAGGCGTCTTAGATGTGACCTAATGGCTTACAGTATCCTTAAAACTTCTGTACATCCGCTTAAACACCTATATAAGTTTAGCCCCAACACAAACCTAAGGGCGAACACCCAGAAACTAGAAACACAACACAGCAGAACGGACTATAGACACAACTTCTACTCCCTAAGAGTTGTCAAATGCTGGATTTCGCTGCCGGCTGAGCTTCCCAAGAGTTCTTTAAGAAGGAACTTAACCTGTTCCTATGGATTAAGGATAATATCTTACTATGATTTACCAATTCCTTTTCCCTCTGTTATTGTCAATATACCTAGACTCTTTCCTGGAGGTATTGGTGATCCACTGCTACTAGACACGGAAGCCCACTGAGCGAAAGCTTCTTCAGTTTCGTCGACAACCATTTGAACCATTTGAATTCTTCTGTATTCTCATGACCCTTATTTTATCACTGAAACTATAATATTGGGTTCACTCAGACATTTTGACGTTTTTTCTTCGTAAAATTTTAAATCCCATACTTCAAAACGAATTCGACTGAATCCGAACACACTTACCAAACTTATGAACCTGGTGAGGTTAGTGGATCAGATTCAGATTTGTGTAGTAAGGACAGAAGGCCCACAGAATATGTTAGTCCTTTTCTGGTAAGCTTCTGTGAGTGTCTAGTCCTCTTTAGAACTAATCAATTGAATGTACTGACATTAATGCCTCGTGTAACAATTTCCAAGAATTAACAAATAACTGTGAAAACGGGTATTTTGTTTATCCTTGGATTTTCTACTCGTCAGCTGTTCTCTGGTAGAAGGAAAAACAGAGGATATGTCAGGTTTAAAATCATTTCTTAATATGATATAGATCAACATCAGACGATCTCTTGATCTATGGCAGGATAGAGTAAAGGGTTCTAGTCTTTTAAACCTCTCTTTTTATGGTAAACCCCAGAGTTCTGAAACTGTACGGGCAGCTGCCCTTTATACTTTTCCCAGGATATCCGATTCACCTTTTCAATAGAGTCTTGCAGCCTGAACGCAGTTTTCAAGCTTAGTTCTCACTAGGGTCGTTTATGCTGTAGTGAACACGGTAATATCTATCTTGGTGAATGTCCGTCTTAAAGTCTATAGGGTTTTAAACCCTTTAACTTCAACCTCCAGGCAGTAGGCCGTGGTTTTGCGATCACGACTCATTATCACCTCAAGATCCTTGTGCGACCGAACTGCGGGTGCAAGTGCTTCCCCTTTGTTGTACCTATTTACTTTTGTAACCCCAACGTGCATGCAGACGTACTTTGGCGTGTTGATAGGGATTAACCTCTTTTTAGACCAGCTAGTCATAATATTTAAGTGTGCCTGAAGTGAGCATACATCTGCATCTCCTGATAATTCTCTCAAGATCATAACATCATCAGGGTATAATAACAAAAGATGAGTTAAAGGTCTTAAATTCGATTAATGTGGTTCCATTCAATAAACTTAACACATATATATGGTCCGCTTAAGTTGAATTACAATTTTATTTCCAAAAGATTCCCTGAGGACTCAAAGTGTTTCTTTGTGTGTGGAATGTTACCCAGTGACGTTGAAACGGTAGTAGTTTTAGGTTGTGAAGATAACACTCCTCTCTCTTTAGTTTATGGTACGTTAAAACACAATTATCCAATGAACCACCACTTCAGAAAATAAATGACTACGAACTAGTGCTCAGTTGAATATAGATCCACAAAACTTCTATTTTGAGAAACTTGCATGATTTATGGAAACGTAATTATACCGCTAGTTTACTGTGATAATGTCACAAATAAATAAATATGTCGTCAACTATGGTCTTAAGCGTGCTAAAACTGCATGTTTAAACATTTAAATGGCCAGGTCCATACATACACACAGTGATGAGAACTACGGCAACTTCTGTAAAATTTGCTGGAAGCATTTCAGATAATTCACAAATTTCAATGGAATGTAGTTAATATGACAAACATGCATGAAAACAGCTCTCAAGCGCACGTCGATATGGGGTATAAAATGCTAAATCGAAAAATTAGATATACAGTTTTAGAGATTATTTGTGGAGCTACTGTTTAGGAAGTGACAAAGATA